TGCAAACGGAAGGGGGAGCCGCCTAAAAAAGGACCCCTCACCAGCAGCAGCGCTGCCCGCAGCCACCCTGGGCATCGCCTGCCCGCGTTTCCTGCCAGCACAAAGGCCCCACGGGGTCCGGGACCTGCCTGGGTAAACAAGCGGCGCTGCGGCGAGGGAGCAGCAGACCCTCCCGGGGCCGTGGTGCCACCACCGCACTGCTTGGATACAACCTCCTGCTCCCAAGTTACGCTGGCAAACAGGGGAAAAGAGCTCGGGGAAGGCCCAGGGAGGCTTTGGGAGCTGTCGGATCTGGCACGTTTGTGGCCATTGCCACATGCCACCCGAGTGGGGACGCGAGGCGTGAAGGCTGTGCTGGGGTTTCACAGGGCTTTATGTGGGGTGACTGTGCTCCCGTGGGGTCCCCCCTTGCCGCAAGCCCTGGCTGAGGAATGTGGGGAGATGCTGCTGCTGCTTCCCCGGAGCTGCGCAGGGGTCTCTGGCTTTGCTCCCTGCTTGGGTCCTGGCAGCAGCAGAGTTAAGCTGGCTCAGCTTCTTGCTGCAGGGTGGGTATGGGCACTGCCTCGCCTGGACTTTGGTCCTGGCCGGTGCCCTGTGCCAGGGAAACCAGGGGCCAACTGTGGGCATGGAGGTGGCCCTGGGACCTTGGGAGCCACCGTGCGTGGAGCTGGGGCCAGGCCTGCCCTTCTGCCTGGGGGTGCAGGTGGGAAGGCTGAGATGCTGCAGGGTGCACATCCCCACTCCGCGGTCCCTGGGTGATCAGGAGGGCTGGGCTGGGGGCCTGAGAGCCCTCCCCTGCATCCCAGTGCTTCCCATGTGAAGGGAGCCTCCCACTCCCCACATTGGCTCCGATGTTTGCTTTTCCAGCTCTTGGCAGGGTCCTGCTTTGAAGCAGAGCCGGGCTTGTTTGGAGCTGTTTGCAAGCCACAAAGCCTTGGCTGGGCTCCTGGCACCCGTCTGCAGCTCCCGTGTGCTGGTCTAGCTCCGGCTGCCATCCGAGCTGGCACGTTTAGAGCAATGCTGGGGAGAAGGGGGTGAGCAGACCCCAGACATCATCGTGAGGCTTGTGGCTGTGCACCCTGTCCCCAGGGCTGCAGACACAGTCCGTTGTTCAGGGATGCAGCAGAGGACCCGCCTGTGACCGCCTGGCTCCTTGTCTTGCCCAAGGGGCCTCTTTGCTCCCCGCTCCTCTGCCATCCCCCCGTCACAACTGTGTTGCCTCCCCCAGATCCGACTGCGGTGCCAGAAGGGGATCCCACCCTCGCTGCGGGGCCGAGCCTGGCAGTACCTCTCCGGGAGCAAGGTCAAGCTGGAGCAGAACATTGGCAAGTTTGACGTGAGTGCAGCCGGGGACAGCGGGTGCTGCTGGGGGACGGCCATGCTGGGAATGCTGCTGCTCCCTCCAGGCCTGGGGCATCTGCTGTGGTCCCAGTCACTGCTTGTTCCCACTGGGGGAGTTCGGGGAGGGGGTAGCGTCCCAGACAGCGTGAGCTCACCCGTGACCTGATGGGGCTCGTGTTCGGGGCAGAGCCAGGTCCAGCCCCGTGGCTGCTGTGCCAGCTCCCTTGGGTTTGCTGCAGGCCCCATGGGCTGGAGTGGGGCTGGCACCACGCAGGGGTGCTCACCCCAACCCTCTCCTCCCCAGGAGCTGGATCTCCTCCCGGGGGAGCCGAAGTGGCTGGACGTGATCGAGCGGGATCTCCACCGGCAGTTCCCCTTCCACGAGATGTTTGTCTCGCGTGGAGGCCACGGGTAAGCGGAGCCACTGCATGTCCACTCCTTGGCTGTACCAGCACCCTGGGGTGGGCTCTGTATCCCAGCTCACGGAGCTGTGGTGTCCCCCGCCACGTCCCCACACGCCGCAGTTCACAGCACATCCAGGCACCATCTGAAAATGGGACAGCTTCCCAGGAGCTCGGTGCGTGGTCGCAGCCCTTGGCACCAGCTCTGACACCCGTGAGGGTGGGAACTGCTGCAGAGGGAGGAGGTGTCTGGCTGTGGCCACTGTTTCGCCAGGGCGATGGCGTTCCCTGTGTGTTGGGGAGCGTCTGTGCTGCTGTATTTGCAATTTTTTCGGCTCACCCCGAGCCAGCATCCCTGGGCAGTGGTCATCTCCCTGCCTCGCCTCTGGGATCCGGGCAGGATGGGGCCTCTGTGGGCAGAGCTCCCCGGAGCAGAGCCGTGGTTATTGTGTCCCATAGCCCTCGGTTTGTGTGGATCCCGGGGAGGGACTGACCCAGGCTCGTGGGGGAAGTGTGGTGGCCAGCAACCGGCCTGCGGTGCTGGATCACCGTGCACTGCTGAGCACCAGTTTGGTCCATGGGGGAGGCTGCTGGGCTGTGTCCATGCCCTCCCTCCACCTCTCCCTCCCTGGGGTGTCTCCGCAGGCAGCAGGACCTGTTTCGGGTGCTGAAGGCGTACACGCTGTACCGCCCGGAGGAGGGCTACTGCCAGGCCCAGGCCCCCATCGCCGCCGTCCCGA